GCTTGTTTTACAACGTCGTTGCCAAGCGACGAAAACCCAACCCCGATGGTGAACACCGGGGGGGTGAGGGGGGGGCTTGTTTTACAACGTCGTTGCCATGCAACGAAAACCCAAATCCGATGGCAAACACCCGGGGGGTCGGCTTGTGTTACAGCGTCGTTGCCGAGCGACGAAAACCCAACCCCGATGGTAAACACCGGGGGGGAGGAAGGAGGGGGGGGGTCTTTCTAGCGAGCAGGGCTAGACTCACCCTCAGGGGACCGATACCTTCTTGCTGCGGCGCACCCACCGTGAGGCGTGGGTAGTGGTGGCGTTGGGTCGGCACTGGTGCGTCAGGTACAAAGGTGCAGATGCGCGCGCCTCTAGGCCGTCGGTGTAGGCAGCAATGCCCATCTCATCTTTGTGCGCGGAGGCAGACGTCATCAGAAAGGTGGACGGGCAGTATGTGCACGGCCCTAGGTTTGCTAGAGGGAGCTGCACTGTCTCAGTAACCTGGTTTTGCCATCAAAGGAGGAGGGGACAGGTGGTGACGAGCTGATTGGGCTTGTTGACCCTTCGGCGTGAGAATCTGCAGACCAAGAACCCTAAGTGCAACGAGGGAAAAAGCGAGAAACCGACTGGGAAAGACGGCAACGAGAACGTGTACGAAGCGGAGCGGGTCGAGTTTGGTCGTGCGAGGACTGGCCACAGCGGCACCGGAGCAGCGGCACCGGAGCAGCGGCACGGGAGGAGCGGCACCGGAGGAACGGAACCGGAGCAGGCGTACGGAATCGAACCGTGGCGCACCGACAAACATCTCTTGTAATGTCAATTATTTTCCCGTTTTTTTCCTGAATACACGTTTTGGGTGTGTGTGATGACGTCACTGGTTTTGTAGAGAGACGCGGCAGAGATGGCGCGGATAACCCGGGTGCCTTAATTGTGTACCTGCATCGTGGAAGACCCCTTCAATGTCGAACGATTCCTAGTCTGTGCAATGTTTACACTGCTGTGCCTAACACGGATGATCTGGATAGATTCGGGTGATGGTCAATTGCAATGATGGCTTTGTTTGGGCGTTCCTATTCATTGTATGTCCACGGGCTCATTCTGACAGCACTTCAGACAGCAGCTGCATGCCCCGAGCTTGTGTACCACATGCACCCTGGTGTTATTACTGTACAGACAGCAGTTCAGGCAGCAGTACGCTGTAGCCGACAAACATTCATTTTGGTTAAATGAGGGACAAGGGGGGTGATGCTGCTGCTTTAGTCCATGTGTAGTGTGTGGGCATGTAGTTCAGTTGTGAGCACGCAAACGTGCTGCAGAGATTGCAGGTGTACCTCCTCGGGCTTGCGTACCCTTTCCTTGCTAATAGTGTGTGTGTTTTTTAGATCTTTAAATGGCTCTAGCATTTTTGTGACCACGGACCGAGTCTTTGCTAGATTTTGGGATTAGCAACTGACGCGAGTTAAATGTAAAGAAAAACAACAACAAACTGTTAGACACCGAGATTTCATTTTTTTTTGCCAAAAAAGTGTCCGTGGTCCGCAGCCCAGCAGACCTGAGCCAGTTCAAAGTTACCAATCAACGCTCGCTAATACAGGTGGCTACGTTACCAAAGGCTCCACTTAAAAACTTTGCCAACAATATCATAGCAGATATGTGTGCATACTTTACACACAGCCACGGACTACCAGTAGTGGATCATGTGCACTAAACTGGCGGATCAGGCGAGCTTGTTATGACCCATCGACTGGAGCAGCAGGGCATGCATGCATGTACATGCATTTATGCATACAGCAGCAAAGTTGGAACATGGCGCCGAGAGCGGAGGAAACATAAAACCGACAAGAAATTGGTGTCATAAAAGGCAGTTTCAGGTGCTGTTTCGATCCGTTTTAACGCCGTCCACAACCTGCCACAGGTGCAACCCTAAGTGCATGCGCCGCTAGCCCTGCACACACTGATTTTCAGAAGCTATCAACTTTGCTCGTCTTTCATGAATTGGCCCCGACATGTGCGTGAGCGTGTTTTCGGAAAAGCTTGAGGTTGGAGCCAGCAGCCAGTTCTTCAGACGAATCAGGCCCAACTCTCTTGCTTCCACCAAAGAAGGGTCAGTGTGTGTAGGGCTAGCGGCGCATGTCCTCAGGGTAGCTCGTGGTAGGTTGTGGAAGGCGGGAGAAGGATGAAACCAAGCTGAAATATGATATGTGATTTCGGCACCCTTTTTGTGGATTTTCAAGATGTGTCATGTGCCCCCGTTTTGAAGCAACGGGTGTCGACACCGCTTGGCCGCGTCTGCTTCTTTCAAGTGTCTGAGCGTGAATGTCGCACTCTAGCTGTAAGGCAAGGTAGTCGTTGTTCTCGAAAGCCTTCGTTCGCATCTTCAATCGTGCCTGTCCTGATCTTCCGAAAGGTGCCTTGAACCAACGAACTCTTGCATAGTAGCTCACTTCCATGAGATGCGATTGTTTGTGCTGTGTGCGCAGAAACCAAAGGTAGCGATCACCAGGAACGGATTTTCGAGTTCAAGGAAGAACGATCGAGCAATGGGCCACGACCCTCTTAAAACCAGTAAATATCGTAGTTCTCGGCCTCTGAGAGAACGGAGGAAAAATGTAACCCTGGTGATCCCTCCAGTATAGTCTGTAGATAGGTATCTCAGCGTACAAAGTCTCAACTCTCCGCCTGCAGTCAGAACTTCGTTCCACCTTTTGCTGGTCTGAACCAAAGTCAATAAAAATCGGCCACCGAGTCATGAAAAAAAATGTTTGTTGGGCTGGTCGTTCTGCCGTGTGTTTGGTGGTCCCTAGCGGCGTAACCTCAAGGTCTAACCATTTAATGCAGGCATTCCACGCTTTGTATGGGAGGTTGAACACATGCGCTGACTAACGAAATGGAGTGGCGTTAGTCTGGCATGATATCGCCGTGCATGGGCATTTATCACTGAGAAACACCGCTGTCGCTCTCTTGACAGTATGACCAGGTTCCTTCTATCTGGGATCAAGCTGATTATTGTCTACTCCGGTAGCAATAATCTTAAGGCATTGTGGACACAGCGCACTCGAGTTGAGTAGTTCATGGTGGGAAACCGCCCTATGGATACTTGCATGTCTACGACATGGTAGATTAGGGTTTTCTATCTGGTTAGCAGCGAAAATGCTTGCTTCCCGTAATCCTGTGGGGTACACATTAGGCGCAGCCGCAACAACATCGTACGTGTGCAGACTCTCTCTACTCGGCCTGCCCACCCCGTCCCTGGGGTAGGCCGAGGTTCTGGAAGTGAGTCTAGACCTCGATAGACCACACAGTAAAGACGGATATACGGTCCCAAGCATCGTTGAGTGAGGGACCCCAGTTTTGCTGATGGAAGTTACTGCTGTCGTGAGATCGGGGTGGCTCGTGAACCGCCAGCGTTGGTAGCTGCAAAATGAGACTGGATCCTAACGCCCCGGCTTGGACACCGGGGTCATGCAGTAGCAGAACAAACGGTGAGGGTGGCGGAGTGACCGCACACCGTGGGGGTATGCCCCAGAGAGAGGAAAGGAGAAAGTCCAGAGTGGAGCGCAACACCACTCCGGGACAACAAGACAACTCTACGGGAAACAAGACAAGGACCGGGGTGACTGTCACGTTAGCCTGAGTGTTCGCAAGGAAACAGCAAAACAACAACAAAAGTGGAGGAAAAGGATGGGTCGGGCGGCGCGTAGGCTATAGCGACGAGAGCAGCGCGCGCCGGACGAAAGAGACAGCAACCTGGAATGTGCGGACTTTAGCTGTCAACGGGGCCAATGGATACGGGCGAGCCTACAACGTTCTAAACGAGGCAGCGAGACAAGACGTATCGGTGGTAGGAATGCAGGAGACACGGAGGGCAGGTCGAACGTAATCTGCATCCGGGTGTTCTGCTGTAGCACGCAGACTGGTGGAGTCCATGGTGTGGGGATAGCCGTCAAAGAGTTACTGTGCAAGACATCCACGTTCACTACGAAGTTATCAACGAACACCTTATGGTTATGAGGTTCATGTTGGCAGGCCACCGTGGAGCGTTCAACTTCGTAGCCGCGTATGCTCCTACCAAACCTTCAACCGACGACAGCAAGCGCATGTTCTGGGGGAAACTTGACAGTCTCAGGCGGAGGATCCCTTCCAAAGAATGCGTGTATGTCCTGATGGACGATAATACGCGGACGGGACATAGGTTGGACGGAAGGGACGGAACGGTAAAGGGAAGACACGAGCGTGATGAGTTCAACAAACATGGCGACCGACTTTACCAATAATTTCCTCGAAGCAGCGCGGACGACCCTAAGGGAGGAACCGAGGAGACAACCCACGCAGGCGTGGTGTGAGACCCCAGAGACGAGAGTAGCGCTGGAGGAGGCCCTCACTAAACGGCGGGAAGCGCGCCAAGCGATGAGGGGCAAATGGAACTCAAAAATATGAAAGGTTTTTGAAGCAGCGTGTAAGGGAGTGGTAACAGCAGTCGAAATGGGCATATATATGCCCACCTGGACGGATATGTGACTGAGCTCGAAGAAATCAACAAAGATCGCGACATGCGAGGACTGCACCAACACCTCAACAGATCAGTGCGCCTTCAGCGGGAGACAAGCGTGGGGATAGCAGTTCGTCGCGGATGAGAACGGCGTATTGCTCCGGAACAGGGACGACATCCTCCAGCGGTGGGCGAAATTCTTAAGCACCCTAATCACCACCAAATCCCCTACCCTGAACCTAGACATCATCCAACGAGTGACGCAGCGGCCAGCCACACGTGACACTCAACGGTTGAAAGAGGTGCCAGAACTCGAGGACGTGAAACGGGCAACAAAAGGCCTCAAGGACTGGAAGGCACCCGGTCACGACTCCCTTCCTATTAAGTTGCTCAAAATCGATGACGACGAACTCTTCGTCCTGGGACACCTCCATACCATCCTCGTCAAGGTGTGGAACAAAGGAAATATTCCGCGAGACTGGCAGGAGAAGGTTGACAAGTCCCAGAGTAACAACTACAGAGGGACTTTGCTACTATCTCACGTACGCAAGGTCCCAATCAAGAGCATCACCCACCGTCTAAGCGCCTTCTGCGAAGGCAATAACCTCCTTCCCGGAAGAACAGTGCGGATTTCAACCCGGGCGATCCACCGTCGACGTGCTGCTCATCGTGCGCCGCCTCCAGGAGCTGAGGCGGAGAAAGATTATACCGCTCTACATGTCCTTCGTTGACTTGGAGAAGGCGTATGATTCGGTGGACCGAGAGATGCTATGGAACATGCTGGCCAGAGCCGCGATTCCCGCAAACCTGATCAAAATTATCCGCCACTTCCACGATGAATGTCGGCCCGAATGCGCATGGACGACGGAGAACTATCGGACTGGTTCTCCGTGACACAGGGCGTGCGACCAGGATGTGTGCTATCCCCACAGCTGTTCAAGATCTACTTCGCCGAGGTCCTCGAGGCCGTTCTCATCCGATTCGGCCCGGATGATGTCGTTCTGCGGAGCCTGGTGTGCTTGGAGGAGGGGAAGACGGCAGTGGGGGCGGGGGACGAGACAATCCTTGACCTAGTACGGAGGGCAGTACGGGGGATCTGGGTTGGATTTTTGGCGCTTGGCAACGACGTTGTAAAACAAGCCCCACCCTCGATGTTTTTTTTTGGCGGAGACCATAGTGGTGGTTAAGTAGTTCATGTTGTGCGGCGTGAAGAACCCTCACCCCGCGCAAGGGGGGATGATCGCACCACGTTCTGTTAAAATGGTCAAGCACCCTCGAGGTAGTTACACAGTGCTTACAACTGTCTCTGGAAGTGAAAGCACCAGAAAATAAATT